GTGTGTGTGTGTGTGTGTGTGTGTGTGTGTGTGTGTGTGTGTGCGGGAAAGGCGCTGTGTGTGGGCGTGTGTGTGTGTGTGTGTGGCTGGACAGACAAGGAGCACAGGAACTCTCATCACATGAGAGAGAAAGTGGGGGATGGGATCGTAACTGGACAGCAGAAGTTATTAAGCAAAGACTTGGTTGTAAAATTGTGTGTGTTGGATGTATGCGTGTGTGTGTGTGTGTGTGTGTGTGTGTGTGTGTGTGTGTGTGTGTGTGTGTGTGTGTGTGTGTGTGTGTGTGTGTGTGTGTGCGCTTCTCTCCAAAGAGGTTCTCCTCATTAAGCAGTGAGGCGACAGGAGTGTAGAGTGTGTTTTCACACACGGCTGCTCCGATACAACCGGAGCCACTTTTTTTTTTCTCCCACCTCCCCCTCCTTTGCACCCCTCTTTGTACCTGCACCCCATCTTCGCACTTTCTCTTTTTCTTCCCTTCTCACGATTCCACTTTCCCCTTTGTGTCATCCCTCACTGAAATCCTCCTCTGTTTCGTTCCTATCGTCTTCTCCACATGATATTGGTCGCTTTAACCTTTCACCAAATTTCTTTTGGTAATTGCATTTGCGAAGAATCGATGCAATCTCATATCTCGCATGTCATTGAATATCTTATTAAAAGATATCTTTTCATTCGTCGTGTGTAAATTTTGGTGTTGTGAACAAGGCCACTGACCATAACATTGTAGCACCATCATTGAATGATGCAAGATTGATCGGAATCCCGGTAGCTCTCCTCTTAGAAAATTTGACGCCCTCAAAGAGCTGTGCGCAACATCAGGTTTTTTTTATTTTTTTTTTTGTGTCACATTAGTTCAATGCCCGGTGTATTTTTTTTTTTTGGTGCCGTGCTCATTGCTCATGAAGGGTCAGCTTGACTTATTATCCACCAATTGCATTTTACCCTGCTAAAAATTCAAACGCATAACATTGGCTCCGAAGTATTTCAAAGGTCAGATTCCCTGTGGGTGTCAAATATGAACAAGGTATTATTTGGATTTTTTTTTTTTTTTTTTGCCCATTTCTAAAAAGGATAACAATGGCCCCTAGTTAAACGACAGTAAAATGTATTCTTGTGACAGTCAAATTGGCTGCATTATCTCTAAACTATTCAGGTTCTACATTAATGCATGACTCCATGTAGAATGATACGAATTCCACCCATTTTTACTCAGCATACTGTTTTATTTCATTGGCTGCAGTGGTTTCACTCAATCACAATGAACTACAAAGTTAGTAGGCCAATAAGTCAGAAATTTGAATTGCTCTTTTATTATTTCTAAATATCCAACAAATATTGTACAAGCACTTCATATCCAGTTCAGTACTGATTAATGATATTTAAAAAGAGTTTTGCTGAAAAGAAGAATGATCAAGCGATCGGGTCATGTGGAGGAAGGGCGGGGGAAAAGGGGTCAAAGAGCAAAGAGAAAAGAAGCATGGGGCTAAGGTAGTATAGGTGTTGGGGGAAATGAGGAGGGGGAGAAAAAGGAATTGGGGGGGTGAGGGTATTTGTGGATTCATCGCTTGCTGGATAAATCCCAGGAGGATTTCTCTCCAACACTTGAAAGCTGTGAAGTGCGAGGTTCTGCTTATACTCCTCCTGGTAATTGGAAGACGGGAGGGGGGGGCGTAGGTGGAGATGGAGGAGGGAGGAGGG